TGTTTATTCAAATATGGCCCTTACGCACACCTATAGCGTCGAAGTGTAGAACGTGCTAGTTTAATTATTTAAAAAGTAACACAAGAGTAACATGCGTTACTTTTATTTTGAGGTAACGGTAACGCGATCCTTTTATTTTAAGGTAATGTAGGCCGGTAACGAGGACAATTCATTTGCAAGTATCGAGTAACGTATTTGGCTGTTTTTTCGGTAACGCCTACGACACTGGCCCAGAGGTGGTATGCCTCTCTGCGTGTACTGGCAACACACGAACCAGAAGCAAACTCTTATCCCTCGGAAGTACAGTCGCACAGAATTCAACACTTCGGTGTTCACGTTTGCGACGTATATGTGACGCGTTTTGTTTACGTAGAGTTTAGATTTTCCTCTAGGTGTTATAAGTGCCTGGAATTGGAACCTGCGCGAGAGCCAGCTGCGTAATTCGCTGCGTATACCCCAGATGAACAACATTATCTTCAAACAAGCTAAAAAAACTAAACATACAAAAACAAAGAAGCATAGACACCTGATTGTAAACACATTCCGACATCTACGCACTGCGACCGAGGTTCATGCGCATATGCCGAAACATCCAACGGTTGCCTTCTGCCGTTTAAGCTTGCGTTTCGCTAGAATAAAGCAGCCATTTTTTTTCCTTTTTATGAAAACAATTTGGCTATTGGCAGCAGGATGATTTCTCGCTATTGATTTAGTACAGGCATGTTACGAGGAGTACGGAAGCAAGAGGTACTGTTGATGGCCAATCTGACAGGATCGTGTGTGCGGTTATGGAGCGCATCACAGCCTCAAAGCTGTTTCTTTTTTGTGTCTGCGTGTGTTCAGATAAATATTTAAATTCGCATCGATCACAGAAGATTGCGCCCAGGCCGCTTTGCTCCTCGATTATCAGACTACTTAGCTTCAGCGCCTGGTATTCTGTTATTCGAGAATGTTTGCTAGTGCCCGCAACCGCACAAACACAAAAAAGCCAAATCTACAAGACCGCTCACGAACATCTTCTGACTGCACAAAAATACACACGCACGTATCGATATGGCTGGCTGCTTGGGCCGACTGAGAGGTGAATCACTGTAGGCTGTATCTGAGCTCGACCGGCGCGTAATTTGACGTGTGGCATGAGTTGATTTTCCTCGCTAACTTTCTTTGACTCTGAGGTGCTAAAAAGTCACTGTGGTGACCCTCCGGCACCTCGTTACCTGCCCGTGCTCACTGATATCCGCGCCATTAGCAGATAAGAACGAATACAAATGAATCACGTATCAAGATAATTAAACCTATTGTTCTTAAAGTAGAGTGGGGTGCACAGTACCAACCGGGTTGGTGAAATTTATCCGCTGCTAATCCGACTCAAAGAAAACACAAACAACGACCCTATTTTTCTACGCCGTCCGTATCTCTGTCAGTCTGCGCTATATAACAGTATATATGAACGGCAACAAAATAGAGATGGCACTTCATTTTTCAGAAAACCCTCGTGGATGCCTGCAGACGACGAGACATGAGATCGCTGAACTAGTCTAAGCCTCGCTGTAGCTTCGCATGAGAAGATCGCTCTGGAGCAATACTAGCTTGCTCGGTACTCGTCAAACCCCGGCTGTCAGAGACTTCCGAGAGCATCCTCTGATGTAGTGAGTGAAGTAAGAAGTGCGAACATAACAGATCGCACCATGAATTCTTTTTTTAAATGTCAGGGACTAGACCCTAAAACGAAAGAGTAGTACTTTCTCCCTCAAAGGAGAAAATGAAATGTCCAATAAGGTACTACACAAAGGGAGCTCCATTCTCTCATTTCAAAAAGGAGGTAATTGTATCCTCCCGCCGTAGATAAGGCCTCCCACCTTCTTTTGCCCACGAACGGAGGAAAACATCCTCATCTAAACCAAGATGGCGGAACGTAAATGCGATCCGGGTGGAAAGGCTTAGCTCTCTGTACGGTCCTTCACCGTAGTAAGAGCGAACGGCGTATACACCTTTCTGGCGTCTTTCAGGCACACAAGAGACTCTAAAGAGCCGTCCTCAAGCACAGGTCTCATACCTCTTTCGGGAACATGATGAAAACTTGCCCACGAAAACCAGGAAAAACGAGGAAGGAACACAGACAAAAAAAGAGGCGAGTGCCGGTTTGTGTTTTGTGTTCCTTCCTCGTTTGTCCTTGCCTTTTGTGCGCGAATTTTTATCATGTTCAGCGTTTACCCACTGGCCCAGCTTACCACTTTACTTTCGTACAGGAAAGACGACAATGTGCACATAGGGCGATTCGGCGCTTAGGACAACGTAGTGTGATCGATGTGGTTTCCAGCTAATGGCGCTTCACACGAAACAAAAAAGTCGAAATTTCGCCGCTTGTATTTTCCTGACCATTCAAGCTCTAAATACACAAGCAAACGGGAATACACAATACAATCCACTTACATATACAAACAGAATACACACGCAATAGCAACACAAGACAAAAACCAGTAACGACACACACTTTGAATGTCAAGTTCACCCGATCGCTAGTATGACAGTCGTTTTTTGTTTTGTGTTCTAATATTCCACTTGGACGCTTATCGGCCCATTAATCTAATATACACGTAAAGTTTAACGAAATATTACTGCTAAATAATATTTCTATGAATTTTTTTTTAAAGATTAGTGTATATCTCTTAATCTAACGTTTTTAGAAGGGTCACCCTTAATTAATTAGGTAATATTTATTATATGACTTTTTAATATTGATTGTATGAATCATGGGAAAATACAGTATTTACGGTGATTTTTGTTAAATGTTATACCAATTGTTAGATATTACTGAATTATTGCATTACCGCGACAAATATTCTACCATCTAACATTGTCCGAGCAACAAAACACTCAGGGAAGACGGCCTTTATGTAACCGCTATACGATATCTTTATCAAAATCTATTCGACTTAGAATAAAACTACCCGTATATAGCCTTAAACTAAAACGCACTTCCCGAGAACAGTAATGGGCTTCGAATGTAACACAAGAGGGAAGATCATTCTCACAGTTTTGTATGTGTGTAAAAGAACTATACATCTCTATTGAGCCAATGTAAACCGCGAACGCCAGATTGTGGGTCATCTTAGCGTTTCTATTCAATTGTGAAAATTTCTAATCTGGGAATTTTCACAGCTTAAGCAAGTCTTCTCACTCTCTTTTGAAATTTAGAAATATTAACAAAAGACTATCGATTTAAACAGTGGAACAATTCATAAGTTCATAACTTTACTCTGAACTAAATAGATCAGTCCTTATACAAGCCAGACTCGGTTCCGCTAGGAACAAGCCATGATACGCAGCACAGGCGACGAGACACAGCCCAGCACACCAAACCGGTTAAAAGAAACCAGCCAAACCTAGCCTCCCGTAAGCTCCGCGGCTCCGCCATGCCGCTGCGATCGCCCGGTGTTGTTAGATGTTTTTCTATATGCTTTGCCCGTTATTGTTTGCAAAGAACAATGGGAACAGCACTGAGCAGTTTTATGTTTTACCCCATAAGAGAGTTTACCAGTATGTTATTTAACAGAAAGGCAAACCGAACCGCTCTTTTCCCTGGTCTTTGTCAAGCGCTGGCGAAATTTCGATAAATGTCACGCCGAGCTGGTGACCGGCAAAAGGTACCCCCAAACTCTGATCTAAATTTAACGCCATAATCTACTGCCTCCAAGTATGTAAAAAGAAATTAAGAACTCAAGTTGTTGACCCCGCCGTCACCGACTTGACCACCGCTGTGGCCACGAACATGCAGGAGGAAGTTCTCCTTTTTTCAAGCGCTACAAGATCGCACTGCATGTCAATCTGTTAAATGAAGAAACTTCCTTTCCTTCCGTTGGCGACAAGGAGGAAAATCGGTCTATCCTACACTTTTCCAGTCTTGAATAGTAACGCGTTACTAGTAACGCGTTACTGTAATTCCGTTACTTTTTTGGTAACTTGTAGCTGTAACGAGTTATTTTTTCAAAATGTAACTTGTAACTGTAGTTCTATTACTTTTTTCTGGGGTAACGATGAAAGTAACGACGTTACTTTTGTCGTTACTTTCCAGTGTTTTATGAATAATATATCACAGAATGAGGGCACAATTTAGATTTTCCTTGCACTTTTCAAATCGTCTATTCCGACATTTCGAGTGTCAAGTTTGCCTTGCACAAACTTGTGAATACGTTCTTTTCTAGCGAGTGACGACCTGAATATAGCCATGTGTAGATTTCATGAAAAAAAATCTAGTTATCTTTACTCACGCGCTTTTACTTTGTGACTGAACACTTACATCTTAGTGTCTTGAAGCACTATCTATGTTGTGGTTTTTCGTTTTTCTGTGAAAACGCTTTTTAATCGGGTGAATCAACCGTGAAACAGCAATACACGCGGAGGGCACTGCGCATGCTTCGTATCTTGATTATCGCCAGTACTGCACACTGCGCATGTTTCGTACTTTTATTTGTGCCACTACTCTGGCGTGGAAATTTTTAAACAGTAATTTTGAGAAGCAACTTCTGCTAAGTTACAATATGAAGTACAGAGCGTACTATCTAATTTTATGCAATCAAACTTGGTGAAGGGCGCTTTCCAGTTTTTCCTATTTTTTATGTTATAAAAAAGTAACTGAAAAGTAACGTCGTTACTTTTTAAAAGTAACTCTAACTGTAACGAGTTACTCTTTTGTTGCAGTAACTGTAACGGTAACTTCACTACTTTTTTCGGAAAGTAACTGTAACTGTAACGAATTACTTTTTAAAAGTAACTTACCCAAGACTGCACTTTTCCCCTCTCATTTTTTTTTATAGTGCCTATTCATCTACGGTCGGTGCTCGCGTTGTGTAGTGGTGGACAACATTCAAGAGGAAATTGGAGCAATGAGCAGACGTCTTGCCAGAAGACGACATCAAGTTCTGCGTGGTATACGGCAGGCAGCAATCAAAGTTCAACGTTTTATGCATTGTAGTCTTGTCACTTATTGCCTTAACCTGTTAGAGAGGTGTTCTAAGAAAACAATTACCCATTAGTGCAAGATCTCGGTCCACCTCTTGCCTCAGTATCGACAGCATTTGCCTCACTCCGGCTTCACCCTAAAAACGTAAAGAAGGCTCGTTATAGACACACATGTGTGGTCCGGAATCAGAGCCGGATTAAGGCATTCCGGGGCCCTGGGCTAGGACACTTCAGGGGCCCTAATGATGATGATGATGGCGACAATGATGATGATAATGATGTCTGGTTAGGGCAATAAACCTGGGAAATACTGCAGTTTCTCTTATTCTTTAATAAATAAAAAGCCGCCTCAAAATGCAAAAAAAAACAAAAAAAAAAAGATTATCATTCCCGTCTGGTTTCAACTAGGGAGCACTCCGGCAAGACCACCGCGGAGGTGGCATGCAGCTTTCTTGCCTTCCCCAGTTGCGTAGAAGCCCGCACTTTCAAAGTGTAAGTGCTGCTCAAGAACACGTGTTTGCGCGCACGAGACACGAGCCCGAGTAGGGTGAAGGGGGAGCTGTTTATAAAATTTCCCTCCCTGACAAGACAAAGAGCTAAAAAAACCCAGATTGTGGAGCCCCTCGCGTGTTTTCTTTGTTTGCTCGAACCCGCTTTCAAAAGAAAGCGGACAAGCACCCTACGGGGCCGGTCACCCACCCAAAGGGCCGGCTTTGTACAGGGATAGGAGCGTGTTACGCGAAATGCGCGTTTAGCCTCGCTGACATCTCCATTATCTGTGTATACTCCTCTTCTCGAACGCTGCGGCAAAGCAACATCGCTTTCCGAAATATTTTTAGGTTTCGTTTTTGTTTTGTTTTTTGTACAAGCTTTCGTCATGGGAGCCCCCAGAGAGACGGGGGCCCTGGGCTGCAGCCCCCTTAGCCCGTCCCTTAATCCGGCCCTGTCCGGAATAAATTGCCGCTATTGTCCGCATCTCTCGTGTAGCGATTTTGTTATCAGACAACCGCAGGCATATGAAGAGGTTCTTCCTCGCTTAAGTTCAAGACGGTAGCTATACTAAAAACAAAAGCAATGTAAAGATTATGATCGTACGCGTGTTGAAGAGTTGCGAGACGAGCTGCTGTGGGAACCGCCACGAATGGCATCACTCATAATCTAGGGTTGATGTCGTTGGTGTCTCTGTAAACCCCAGTCACAATCCACAAGCATCATACAAAACACATGGTGTTCCCGGTGGACGTGGTGAAAAAGATATGTGCTAACACACTTCAAGCATCATCGAAGCACAGTTGCTATACTTACGTGTTTGCTTTGAACATGTATGCATGCAGTGTTTTGCATAATACATTCACTTACTAAGAAACTCAAGGCAGCAAAGTTTTAACAAATATAAAGTGGTTGGGGAAATATGGAAAGGTTTGATGCTGCCTAGATTACCTCATGTTAATGGTTATACTATGCATGAGGTCGGACATTCAAGCAGGATAGGAAAGTCGTTGAAGAACGTGCGCAGACTGGAACTGGGAGCATTTCGGAACACACCAAATAAGGAGGTACCGGGGGACATGACCTGGCCGTCTCGTGAGAAGAGAGGGGCAATTACTAAATTTAAAATTGAACAAAGTTTAAGATAAATGGAGGATACGCTGAAGGCTTGTAAGATAAACGAGCAATTAGACCGAAGTAGTTTAAACAAAAAACGAACGAAGTGAACCCGATGTCTTTTCTTAAAATACCTCTGCTTCTTTTGCAAGCGTTCTGGTAACGGCAGAACGTCAAGCTCAGATTGGCTGTGATGGAAGTATAGTGGGTAGATTTCAAAGCAAGCCTGCCTTGTGTTTTACCCAATATCCTTCACATCAAGCATGATCGGCGTTCTGATGTTACTGCAACCCCTGCAAAGTAGCAGACGAACTTGCGCTCCTCATAATCACAAAAGTGTGTTAAAGTATTCATCGAGAAGGTCTAAAGAAGCGTTATAATAAAATAAAACTGATGGGGCGAGATATTTGCGAAAAATTGAATTTATAAAAACAATTTTGATGGTATAGTTGTGTTTATAGGCCAGGTAACGCCAGCTACCTCCCGATACAGGGGCTGATACACGGCATATCCAGTACCAGATTGTCGAAACAGAAACCGGAACTGAACCGTTATTATAGCCGAACCGGAACGTAACCTTGCCGCCAATTTCGAACTGAACCAGAACTCAACCGGAAAACATATAACGGTAACCGGTCCGAAGCAGTACATGGTACTTTTGTAACAAAATGAATGTTCGTGAAATAAAAATTGTCAGCAGTAATTCTATGCTGTGATCAAATTGGCATACACCGAATGCAATGCATGAGATATTTTGGGTTTTCCTGGCGCTTTTTTATTGACACTATGATTAATCCCGTGGTCCCGTGACGTAGTCAAGTCACTCAAAGTCGACTTATAGTGACAACGTCACTTGGTTTATTAGTGTTATTGTTGACGCCGTAACGTCGAATGGCATCACGACTTACCACGAGTCACGTGGCACCGTGACTTACTCAATTGACATGAGCCCGAGTTGAGTGTTCGTGTTCATCAAAATCAGCATCGTCAAACATTCGAATAATAGCTAGTGTTCAATCAAAGATGAGATAAACCGAACTCTGACAATGTCTAAAGCTCAACCCATGCTTTATCCTTTTCCAACCCAACCGCATGAGTTGTGATATGCGTATAATTATGCGCATATAACACGCATAAATCAGAAACTTTATCTGCTGCATTTCGTAACAGTAATTGGAAAAAGTCATTGGTTTTTTTGTCAAATGATTAAACGCAGCTGCAAGAAAAAAGCATTACATTTTTGCGCCATTTCGCATGGAGGGAAAATATAGTAGGGAAAATCCTAAACGCGCCAGTCACCCTCGCTTTCTCCATTAACCGAGCTATCAGCCGTGAATATCTTTTCGCACTCATAACACTGACTCTGCATACTTAATATTATGGTTCTGAAATGCCATGCTGCACTCCCTGACGGAGCTTCGTTTCGCCGATCACCAGTGAGCGTAGTGCATTCGACCTTTTTTTCAATATCATTTTCGCCGAGGCTCCCCCTCCCCGCCCCCTTGGTGGCTCCGAGTGTAAATGTCAGACGGATCCCGAGTTGGAGGGTCCAAACCCCGGCCAAGATGCCCGCTTTGTAACCGGGGGCCCGTTGCGGAGAAGTCATCGTGTAACCGAGATTTTGATTGCATTACCGTCTAGGGAAGGTTGAAATTCATCCTCAGTTTTCCGCTAATGTGTACGAGAGGTTGCACGTTTCCTTACCAGTAACCCTCTTTCCCCTTCCCCCTCCCTTCCACCTTCGTTTTATATGGCTCCCTCTCCCGTTTCTTCTCGCCCCACTTCGCCTGTTGAACGGACACAGCCGCACGTTCGTCTGTTCTTTGCATACCTCGTTCTTTTGTTTAGCTCGCAGAAGCGCGCAGGTGCTTTTGTTCCACCCCGACTTTAACCAATGACGGCCAGCGCTTGCCAGTCTTAATTTTGCGTATTCTTGAACATGCATTACGTTGTCATTTGATTGGCGTGCCCCTCCTGGCCTTCTAACGCGCCAGGAACGCTTTTCGGAACACTTGCTGTCCATATAGTCACAGGAGAGTACGAGAACCGAGGCAGGGTCTATTCTCGCGGCTCTGTCTTTCTGATCCCCTCGTCGGCGTTCTTATCGGATAACTCCGCAATGTACCCTGCTGCGGAGAGCTAATAAGATGCTCGGAATATAATCGGGCCCACCGTTTCTTGAGCAGTCGGTGAGCATACACGCAGGGACTTCTAAGCAATCCCCGAGCGGCCCTTGCAAACTCCATCTGGATAGCATGGCCGTAGTGTTAGATTTTGCTTAAGTTAAGAAGAAGGACGAGCACGGAGGGCGATCAGACACGGTATAGCGTCAGCGTCCATCCGGAATTCGTGTCATTTTATGACGGAACACGCGTAACAGCAGAATGACACCTTGGACAGCGCCGTCTAGTCTCTTGTAGGTTACCTGACCATCAGCCATCTTTAAAAAGTCCTCACCATCGCCTGTCCGTCCTTGCTTAAGCACATACTCTGAGCATGTGTTCGACACGAGTGTCATCTCATGTCCAAGCAACGGCGATCACCAATGCTGCTTGGTGGACTCTTGAAAAGGGTCTGTTTCAGCACTGCCTTGTGAGAGGTGGCGTTCTCATTGGTATGCAACAGGCAGCCGGTGAGACAGACTTCAATAGTATCATTTTGACGTCGGGGACCTCTGGCCTTCATTAACGAAAACATGAAGGTTTTCAAACCACCGGCGACATACCTAATACGTCCCGGCAAATCTCAGCTAGGACCTTGTCAATAGACCGGAAAATTGGTTCAGTTTTTATGCTTGAACTCGTGTCTTATTCCGATCACCTTTTCGTTCATTTCTCGCTCTTTGATCACACGGCTTCTGTGGGATCTTTTTCTGACAGTGTTGCTGATGCAATATGGAGGATGTCTTACGTTGTACGCCAGTCCCCAGATGGTGGGACGTCCAACGAACACAGCCTTGGCTCCGAGTGCCAGCGCCTTGATCACATCCGCGCCCTGACGGACGCCGCCGTCGATGTAAACTTCGACGCGTCCGCGGACTGCCCTCACGACCTCTGGGAGGACCTCGATCTGCAAACAGGTCGGAACACAAAATTTCTCTGGAAAACTTTGCTTACCTTTATTATTAATTTGAAGGCAAAATTGAAAGCTGGAATTAATTGTAGTTTTTCTTATTTGCTATAGACGCTTTCAGGCAGCTGTGCATTGGCACCGCCGTAATCGACCCTCAATTGTTGTTTTTTTCCTGCCATTCCGATCACTTCACTTCATTGTTGCCGCAACAAAACAGGTTATCGCCACTTTAAGTGCTACTCTTCCCTTCTCCCCAGCATAGGCCCTTGTGGAGGCTTGTCAACGCCCGCGTCAGTGGCTCGGAATCTCGGTAAGACAAGATACGGTCGACTTTGGCGGCTCAATCTGGCGCGTGAGGGATTGTTAAATTTTTTTCGAAAATATATTTTTTAAGTATTTGGGATAGGAGCACTAATGATGTTTTGTAGGTAGCCTGTACGGCCAGGAAGCATTATATAAGGTTAATCCTGAAGATACTTCCATTAATTTCCTAAGATTTGTTAATTCACTTTTCACTTAGTGAAATTACACACATGGCTCCAATTAGAAACTTGCTGCGCGTCATTGAAAACACCTAAATCTGTAAATATGGGAGGTTTTTGATGCACGTGGGAAGCGAGGCGGGCACCCAAATTCTCACTCGTGCTTTGAGCAACAGGCACAAGGAAGGCTAGTGCTAGGAACAGGACTGAGTTCTGCTATACGGGGTTGGATAGTGCTTAGCCGCGCACCATGCCGGGCGCGGGTGAAACGACTGAAAAGTTCGATGCTTGTCGCGGAGGTCCACTGCCTGCTGGGATTTATTTTATAGTGCATTTATTCAGTGATTTGGTTCACAGCTTTTTTGCATTTCTTACGTGGGCTTTAATAATACCTTTCAGGTTTTAATCTGGAGGCGTTTGAATGTAGGACATGCACACTTGATCAACTGGAATCTCCAAATTCTCGCTCATCAGTCGGCTTTACAGAAGACATCTTAAGCCCGCATGAGCTGTTCTTGCGCAATAAGTGCGCTCTCCTGAGATAACGAAAGCAAATCCAGCACCTTGGACACTGTTTTGGCAAACGCTCGAAAGAGTATGTAAGACTCTCAAGTGCTCATTTCTTGGACAAGCCGCTTTCTTCCGGTCGCTTCCTACCTGCTTGCTGAATGCGCCATCCAGCATCCTAGTGAATATCAGTGTGAAAACGCGGATAATAATCTTAGTACCCGTGTTTTGGCACCGCTAGCCTTGTGCCTGTTGCGCGAGTGGTGAGAAGTTGGCGCAAACCATCGCTTCCCACGAAGACGCTCAGCAAGCGTCTAACGTTAGGTATATTTTTAGTAATTATAGAACTGACTTTTTATTACCCGTCATATTGTGAGGATTAGCCCCCTATGTTATGTCCCCATGGCTGTATGATGCACCCGCACAAACCGCAATAGTGTACCAATCAAGGAGAGTTTTAAAAAAAAAATCTGCTCGAATTAAAAATCAAACACCCCCGTATTGAAATTCTAGATGGTACCAGTATCAGGGATTTTCTGTCCGTCGCATGTAGTCTTTATGACATCACAATCACGCGACACCATGGCGTCAAGTAAAATGATTACGCTGAGTGACACTGTGAGATTGCGTGACTTTTTTATGGTTATATTTTATGTAGTTTATCTTTATTGTTTTCCTTTTATGCTCCTCCTTTCATTTATATATATTTTCTCTCTATTTCTCGTTATGATGTAGCCGGTGTCATTTAAAGAATACCAACATCTCCATAATAAAGAACTTATCTCTCTCTTTCTCTCCATCACTCGCCGCGACAAAACGCTAAATAATACGACGTTCCAGCCGCAGGCTGAAACTAGTGGGTGTATTACGTTGTGAGCTCTCACGATTAACCCCTGGTCCTCAGTAAGGTCAATGCCCACTCCGCAGTCTTTTCTTTGCGCGGCTACGGCCGGGTCCGTCCATTGACTGTTTTTTTTTTTTTTTTTTTTTTTTAAATTGGGGGGGGGGGGGGGCGGTAAACGAGAGACAACAACAACGCAGTGAGTCCGTTTTTCACGTGTTTATTGAATCAAACGCCAACACGCTTTGCTCTTAGACAGGAAAAGACTGGGCGCCGGCTCAGTGGCCAGCATCACCCCGTTGGTTTCCCCCGCTGCCACAATAGACAGATTCAGTTTGAGTCTGAGGCCCACGGAAAGTCTGAGGCCCACGAAGAAAAACTGAGCTCCATAGAGCCAGGGCCTCCGCCAACGAGAGCTCCCGACCCCTTTTCGGGGCCGGCTTATGTAGCCTAGGAGATATGGACCCGCCCGGGGAGACCGGTAGCAGTCGCGTCCACTATCGCTCTCAAGGGTGCGCAGGCGGCACATTCACCCTACGTGGGCAACGGAGAGCCGGCCCCTTCGGGCAATTCGGACTTGGTTCCCTGTATCCGGAGGCCGCCGCCATTGGTGACGACAACTCCCACGGCCTGCTCGAAGCTAGACTTAGATAGGGCTATAGGGAACCTCATGGTTTCCACACTCCCCCCTTCTCAAGGCTAAGGTAGGCCAAAAAAATAAAATGACCTACCGGCTCTCAAAAACAGAATTTAAAAAAAACGCTAGAGCGAAAAGAGCATGCCGCAAAGAAAAATATAAAGAAAAAAATCAGCGCGGTACATGCTCAAAAAGCACTAGCTCGCTGCTTGGAAGTGAACCCCGGGTTGCCGTCGAACTCTACAACTCACGCTTCTTGGCCGGCTTACCGAGAGCAGCGTTGAACGGTCCATGTAGTGGCCGAGCTTGGGCAGGAAGGACGGCCTGGTCACTCCACGATGAAATGTTACCGGAATTAACCGCGGAAAAGACGACGGCTGGGCATCTCCTCTTGGGGACCATGCGACACGGGCACGGTCACTGGGTCCGTGACGGGATGCGAGCTACTTGTTGTTGGCACGGGTCCACAGCTTGGGTCCGCGACTGAATGCCACGTGTTGCTGGCCTGGAGACGAGTCCAGTCAGCGGGAGGGCGGCTGCCGCCATCTTGGTCATCATCCGAGGAGCCGGATCTTCTGGAGACCGGATTCGGAAGGGGGACTGGCAGGCCTGTGACGATGACGCTCCCTGGCTTCGATTTCACCTCGATGTGCAACAATGACTCAGGAACCGCCGGGCACTGAAATGCAGCCTGCGCTCTGTCCCCTCTCCGGTATCTTTCCCCAAGAGGAAGCTTCGGAAATTCCGAGCAAGGTGAAGCCGACCAACTGAGGACGCCCGACCGATCTCTGGGTGCGCAAGGCCCCAGAGATAAAAAGAGGCAGAGACAAATATGTCTTTTCTGCTGTAAGCCACGTGGATCGCACTGGCTCGGCTTGCGGAGTTATTGTGAAAATAGTTACACGACTCCGCTTAGTGTGAACACGGATGTCCACATACCAAGCTGACTCCCGTCACCCCGGACAATGGACTTGTTGGTGACTGTTCGACGAGGCAAAGTTCTGTGTAGCTGCCTTTGCTAACGATTCCTAATCGCTTCGATTTGCGTTCGCAATGAAATGTCAAATGCACCACCCTGTCCTTTCTTGTGATATTAAAACGATGCAGGCTGCAGTCGGGCAGGCTCGCCAAAATTGTTATTTTCCAAACATGTTACCTTTTACCTTAGGCTAAAGCACAAATGCCTGTCACTTCGAAATGTCTTAGAGCCGTGTGCTGCTCTGGCCAACGCGAGCCAAAGAGAGCACTGAATGCACCTCCCAGTTGCACAGGACAGCCACCTTGAAATGCAAAGTTCGTAGAGGCCAAGCGCCGAAGCACGAGATTATCTGCATCAGCAAGAACAGAAACCGATCCTAAATAAAAAAGCCCCGTGCCAGCAGCAATACAGGACTGTTCGCGGCACACACCTCGGCAACAACACGATGTTGCTCGACACGGCGGGTACGCTGTCCGGCTGCCAAAGTCCGTCTGCAACAATGCAAGTTGCTTTGCGACGTTAGTGGCGAGCGTACCGCCCGGCGGACGCACCCGCCAGACTCTACAGAGTCCGTGAAAGTATTTACAACTATTCACATATAGTTGTAAATACATTCGTTTTGTTGAGCATCAAAAACTCATCGGTGCTACGATCGATTCCCAACGAACACTTCGAGTGCCGTGGCTCACAATATCGCCAAGCGACCGCATGGCGGTCACTTTAATTGGACACGCAATTAAGGCGCGGTTTCTACGACGTACACGGGACGCTGTTCAACCTGTTGCACTGCCCGGTCGCACGATTGAACTGCTCCCGGACCCCGCGGCGCCTTCACAATTACCGTCGCATTTATGGGGGTCGCAACTCAATAGGTGGCCCTTAAAAGTTCCTAACGTTATTGTTGCATGCTATGCTCACTGACGTTTGGCCAGAGTTGATCGCGGGTAAACTGAACATACTAAAATCTAGTTGCCGAAAACCATGCTCATGCCAGTCCTCTGTCCCTTGATAGCGGGAAGGAAAGACGGATAGAAAGGGAAATCATTTTGACTCTCAGTTTTCCTGGAGGTACTTTGTTCCGGGGCTCGCTTGGTCAACCTGATGGCTACCGGTCTGTCGACGCGGCGACGAAGGGCTTCATCGGCGGTCTCCGCACCCTCACTAGGCTGGGACCGGTGTTCAGCGCAATCACTCGCACTGCGTATTCTACCAGTGGAGGATTCAGGCACAGCGCATTTTTTCGCTCCGAGATACGCTTTTAGTTTGTGCGCTGACGGGGTGTCCACTCTAAGTGGGCCCCGCGAGCCGTCTTGAAGGCAAACAGCTGCACTTGCTTCTTGCTGTGTCACCGTACTTTGTTAAAAAACGGTGTTGACTCCGAAAAGCGCAGGTGAGCTCTCCCCAGCGAAGCAGGCTGGCGTCGTACCGAAGGAATGCCTCGGACGTATTCCGGCCGTTGAGTTACCTCCGTTTGGGAGGGCGTTCGGCCGAGACACTTATTCATTGTGTCTTTGCACGGCTGACGCGGCCACTAAGCCGTTTAGTAGCATCGGGTGTCGGGCATTCGCCTCTCCCTTAGTAGACATGTTTGATCCTTGGCCAGAAATTGACCTAGTTCGCTGTCTTAGCGAACGGAAATGGACGATGTGGTCTTTTGCAGTTCATGAACAGCCGCACGTTGGGGCGCCAAATGTGGGACTTCTCAACTTTTACCCCCAAAGTCCTCATTGAAGCAAATACCCACTCCGTAGTCCGCTCTTCGCGAGGCTACGGCCTGGCTCGTCCATTGACTGCCTTTCTGGGGCACCGGTGAACGAGAGACAACACCAAAAACGTGAGTCCGTTTTCCACGTATTTATTGACTCAAATGCCAACACGCTTTGTTCTTAGACAGGAAAAGTCTGCGCGCTGGCTCAATTGCCAGTATCACCCGGTCGGTTTCCCGCGCTTCCACAATAAACAGATTCATGGGAAGTCGGAGGCCCACAAAGAAAAATAACCAAGCCCCGTAGAGCCAGGGCTTCCTCCGACGAGAGCCACAGGCCCCCCTTCGGGGTGGGCTTATGTAGCCTCGGAGATTTGGACAGACCCGGGGAGGCCGGGAGCAGTCGCGTACACTGTCGCTCTGGATTGTGCGCCGGCGGCACTTTCACCCTACGTGAATTCGGCCTCGGTTCCCTGTATCCGGGAGGCAGCCGCCATTAGTGACGACGACTCCCATGGCCTGCTCGAAGCTATACCTAGATAGAGATATAGGTAACCCTATGGTTCCCACAACCTTTACAAACATGAGCACAACACTGCGCGTCTAGCTCCTTGCAATAAACGACAAGAGCAGCCTCATTACTTTTCGTTCAGCCCTCGTACGTAGGAGACACGATATTTCTTCTTCCCGATCACCGATGATCATTTACAAATTTTAAAGCATTTCCTTTAGTGGAATCGAGTTATAATTATAAGGTAATAGTTTGCCAGATGTAGCGTACGGTTGCTGCTTGTCCGTCCAACTGGCGACCACCGTGGTTTGACACGAGGATCGCTGAAACGCCACGACTGATAGCTTCCTCTGCGTCTTCCGCTGTGAAGAATAAGAAAAATACATCAATACACTGAAATTTACGAATACAAGCCATGCATATACATATAGATGAAAGCTAGAACAGCAGCAGAGGCTTTATTAAACAAGTGATTTTGCAAGACTTCCCGAAACGTATGTAAGGTAAAGCTTCTCCTTCTAACGTTTTGCTAAACAAACATGTTTATAAATTTATTATGTTTATTGTTAATTACGAACACCTTGGTGGATTTTATTACCAATGTAGCACAGTTTTCTGGTTCTAAATGTGGTTTCTCCTGTCATTTCTTCAAGCCCTGTATGCCCAAAAGAACGTTAAGGTATAACCTTAGATTTTCCTTCAGACAGAGCCTGGCATTCTTTGCCCAGAGTAGGTAAACAGACGCCAGGCTTCACCTGGAGTCTGGGAAGGTATATCGCCTTTTGGGCACTTGTTTGGCGCTTTTTACATTGCACGGTGAACAGGACAAACGTGACAAAAAAGCCAAAGAAACGTACTTCGGAACTTACTGAAGCTTCCGAGAAGAACCTTATTAGGTCAAACCTATCAGGTTCTTCAAATTCGACACAAGTTTGAAAAGCCCTAGAATTTATAAACTTGCGTCAAGTTCGGCGTTTCTCTGGCTTGCTGCTTTTGTTGCCATATTTGTATTTAGAGAAGCAATGGGTACAATATTTACAGTTCCATTATTTTATGCATCATACTCTGCCCCCGCAATTTTCGCGAGCGTATTGTTTAAGCGGGAGGCTGCCCTCACTCCTAACTGGCGCTTTCTGTGTTTAGTGTCCAGGCGGGACCATCTACATCAAGTTAACAACGACGGTGCAATATTCATTAAAATATTATATGTTTTAAAAGTATACAGATTGCCTCCTGCTTTTTCTTTTTTTTTTTTCTATCATCTAAGCTTCAATACACAATACACAGCATTATTCTTCTGTGGCTATATAAGAAACATCTTAGCTCGCTACGCTAAACGCAGGCGTGCATCCCATCACTCTATCCAGTCATGAGATTCATTCGAATGCCGGTCAGTTCGTAACCTGCTTTACAAGATCGCAGCAGATCGAGCAGATCGTCATTCGCTATGGAATGATTTCGAACCTTATCGTAAGGATTAATAAAAGAAATGTGGATATCGAAGTTTATCATTTCTGTCTTACTTCATATTGCAGATTCCAGAAACTTCTATAGCCTTAACGTTCCAATAATTTCGCAATTTATATAATGACAAGGCACCATTACTTTCTGTTGACGCCAAACCCGAAAAATGCAACAGCGTTACAAATTAACACGACAGGTGTAAGGACACAATGCAAGTGCGCACCATTAGTGATTCCTTTGAGCACCAAAGGTAGACTGGTGATGCTCTTCAACCAGGTGATGTCATCCCAAGACTGCGAAGGGTCGATGACGGACACCATCGCTTTTACGGACACCGTTGATTTCACTTCGGCGAATTCCGAGCTTCCTTCCAGGTTCCCATATCTGCGTTTAAAGCGCGCTGTAGAAACGTTCCGCGTTTGTCGACGACGTTTTCATAACGAGACCCTGAGTGCGAGCTGACGTTTTTTCAAGGAATAAACGGCCTTCGGTCCGAATTCGTCAACATCAATGTCATAATGAATAATATCAACCCAAAAGTAATTTTATTTAATTATTTATTTATTTTATTTGACACTACTAGCAGTCCTCACAACAGGGACCATGATAGGGGTGAGCAACAAAAGTTAGCATAAAAAGACACGCAGAACATGGTGTACATTATGGCATTACTAGCGTAGTCTACGGTTATATATCAAGTACAATAAACACACTCACAAAAAAAATACGCCAAGCCCTCTGAGCAACTGATTTAGAGACATGAATTTTACAAAAACTTCTCCAGATATCTTATAAATTCATAAATGGTGTTGGCTGCAACAGTGCTTTCTGGCAGCGCATTGAAGTCCTTTATTGTTCGGGGGAAATGTGAATTTTAAAACAATTTTTTGCGTAACGACATTCTTCAAGTGTTCTGGTGTGTCTATCTGACGTAATTCTAGAGGTATGGGGTCGTATCAGTCTAACTTTGTCTAGCAGAAGTATCCCTTTTAAAATCATGTAAAGCATTTTCAAGTGCTTGTTCCTCCTTCTCTCTTCCAGAAGATTGATTCTTGCCCTGAAATACAGTTCCACGGGTGAATCTAGCCTCCTATACTTAAAAAAAAAAACAAAAAAAAAACGTAACGCCCACTTTCTAATCCTCTCTAATTGTAATACTAACTTCTTTGTGCACGGGTCCCACACTTCACTGGCATAATCTGAACTGGGCCGTATCAGCAATTTAAAAGTAAACAGTTTAGCTTCCGGACTGGCCATTTTTAACGTCCTTCTTAATGACCAAAGTTTACCTACAGCTTTCTTATTCATATTATATACGTGCTTGTCCCATCGTAGATCGCTGGGTATGCTTACTCCTGAGTGTTTATTCGCTTACTCCAGACAAAGGCTTTCCGTTTAAGTGGTACTTATGCACCACAGGAGTTTTGTTATGTGTCATTGACATGCAAACGTCTTTTCCAGGTTTAAAGACATCTGCCAGCTTTCACACCACTCGCTAATGTTTTTGCAAACAACCGTTCAACTCGATGATGTCGCTGTCATCGTTCATATAATTATACAAAATGCAATCATCAGCGAAGAATTTTCCTTTTAAAGTAATGTCATGAAGTACGTCTTTGATAAGTATTAAAACAACAAGAGTCCGAGTACAGATCCCCGCGGGACTCCTCAGTAGACGTCTTGTAGCATTGAATCATGCCCATCAATACTAACGAACTATTTTCTAAAAGTCAAGGACGCTTCACTTCACCACAAAAGTTTGGAATTTTTCGGCAAAGGCTCTAGCCTAAAGAGCAGCTTATTATGGTTCACCTTGTCGAAGGCCTTTTGGAAGCCTAAAAATATAATGTGACCTGGCCTCTATTATCAAAAGTCAAAATTAAAATCATGAATTAGTGTCGTTAATTGTGTAGTGCAAGATAAACCTTTTCGAAACCCATGTTGTTTGATATCAAGTACATGACAAGTATCTAAAAGCGCTCTTTTATGCTTTGAACTGACGTGCTCTAACAATTTACAACAGGTAGATGTCCGGTAGGGCATAATTATGAGTAAAAAAAAAACACTGACAAAATATTCATTAAAACACGTAGCGATTTTTTGTCAATAACTCTATTTCTTACTATCACCTTAGTAACTCCTTTTTTCCTTGATGGTAGTTGTCGCCAAAACCTCCAAGATGAATATATTATTAAGTTTTGCATCTTATCATTAAATAAGAATTTCGATCCCTCTATTTTGCTTTGTCCCGTACTTAGCATCAGTATTTCAGCCTGTAGGAGCCCATCTCTTTTCCCTCGCGCTTTCGTTCTACACCTGGTTAAACGTCTTTTGTGATGAATTATGTCCCTTTTATTCCAAGGACTATTAGGATTCCGCTTCTTTACTCGCATTGGAACAAACTTATGAATGCACTCTAGTACAATCCTTTTAGAATTAAGCCACAGCTCGTCCACTTTAATTAAGGGGTTTCTAACGTGGTCATCAGATGTATCGTACTTAAAGCCTAGTTGATCAATAAATGACTCATCATCAGTTTTCTTAAAACTTCTATATATCAAGATTTTTCCGCTTTCTTAAGTGGAGCCTCCAACGATAATTCGAAGTGTACCTTACTGTGATCTGAAATTCCCGGTTGAATCTTGAAATCCCTTCTGTGACTTGAGAGGATCTCACTGACAAATATAAAATCTATTAGGGATTGTGACTCCCCTTGCTTTTCTCGTGCTCCAGAAATATTAGTCATACAAAAAAACTAAGCCCAAAAAATACAATAACGCATCGGAACTCCACTCGAAACCTAAGGTGGAAACCTATACTATATGCTCCTCTTTTTCAAATAGTACTCTACAAACACATCAAAACGAGCCATCCGGTATATAAGCACATTTGAATTCTTACCAGTGGTGATAGTTTAGATTGAATAGAAGGGTAAAATGTGCATGAACCTCCAAACAGACGAGTCGGACAATTAAGCTGCATTGATGACACCAAATGGCAATTCAAGTACCCATGAACTATACTAAAAAAAAGGACGTCATGACCAGCCCATATTTTTTTCTTTTTTTTTTCACAAGCTTTGCAGCGAAAATTCATTTAGTGTGTATTCAGGGTAGCAAAATATTCTATCAAAATAGATACCGTACACAACGTGAATAAGTCCTTTCTTTTCTGCATATAAAAGTATGGAAGGACAAGATATACTCGGGTCGACTAAATGCTAAACATTTAACACACGTTGACTTCCCAAAAGGCAAAAAAAAACATATTTATCATATACAATCGTGGCCAACTGCACCTCCTTGTTCGTCCTTAAAATTACTCTGAAAATACCTTAATTTTTGCTTATGCCAGAAAATCCTCGTTGCATAGAGACAAGATTATGACCTTGAGCATGAGCCGTTCTACCCGCCACCTCTATGGACCATAAGCTAAGTGAGCTCGGTCAAACATGTCAGAAGGGGGAGGGGGGGGGGGAGGAAGTGACAACCTTCAATGCAGAAGCGAATCACCTGTATAAGAAAACTACGCTGTGATTCAGCGAATAACAAGTCTTCTTGACGACAGACGCCACCACCAGCGCAAGTTCATGGGACGACAATGTGCACTATATTTTCCTAGCACGGAAGCTTGAGAAAACTGATTCCAAACAAGCTGCACGAGTCTGGAAGCTGGGCACAATCAGTGGCTGACTTTTGGAGCTATGAAGCCGCTGTCATTACCTCGTAAACAGTACGCTGGCATATATGCCCTAGCATTCTGTTTCCAAACCCGTACATATTAACCTCACTCCGGCCTCCTGTCGTCTGTGTCCTAGTATTATTCTTGGAAAGCGTCACTGACAGGTGTGTTTACCGCGTCTAAAAAAGTGGTACCTCGATTTCCGCCTGTTGACGTCGCAGAACTGTCATGTTTTCACAGTCCTCGATCCTGGCGGTGACACAGCTGTGGTGGTATATGTGGTACACACCTGTCCTACTGCGGGTTGATCTCCAGCTTGAAAGTCCACAGAAGCTTATTCAGCCAGGATTTGGTACACCATGACGACAGCGACACTCTCGTTGGCTATTGCTTTTTTGCCAGGACTTCTACGCCTAACAGCCTGAACCGCGACATCCGATCCGACAGCGTGACACTCCGGCGGCAGTGACGCCATTTGTTACCACTTTAGGAGCACTTTCGATTCATGGGCGAATAGAACGCTGAACACAGCTGCCGGTAACGCGTTCCAGCTACCGTGTATATGTACTAGTAGCGCACCGCTGCTCGTTACACCTGGACCAGGAGCTCCAGAAACCAGTCACCTTGGTCTCAATCGAGACTTTCAGAATAGGCCTCAAGGTTCTTGGTCCTCTAAGAATCTTATGGTAACGCACTGGGCGTGCGCAGATGTTGTGGGTACCCGCAGTGCAGCACCCCAAACTGATTGCGGGACCGCTTGGGCGCCCTATGCTAACGCTCTCTAATTTTTAATCAGACCAATTTCCAGGAGGGAGCCACCAAATAAGATATGCTCTTTAGAGCGAAAAGTTAGCCGGCTTGGTGCAATTGTTACCAGTTTTCTGACGCTTTATCTGGCATCACAAACTAAAATTTCTTCCTCCAAAAATATTAAGGCAGTCCGTGATCGAGCTTTCTAACACTCTATCTAAAACTAAAAAAGTCGCATTTTCGAACTGTTACTATAACCAAGTGCGCTTGCCCTGTACTACGCACCAAACTGGCGGCGCCCAAAAGAACATTGGGGAATCGAAGCCGATACTTTAAGCACCGTTTATTTACTATACTAGCTATAGGTGGGTATTGTATAGCGCCATGTAAACGCCGCTGCATGATGCATGTTAAACATTCCAGGTTAGTTTCCTACGCTCCCTGGCCCAGAAAGTCATCCCGCCACCCTAAAAATCACAACATGCAATTTAAGGGTGATGAACTTATGGCGTTTCCGACTGCTCTCGTGAGCGCGTCGGGTATGGACCAACAGAGTCGGGAAAGCTAACTAAAATATTTTACTCTGAAAGGAACCAGAGTTCGGGCATGGGCCAGTCAGCCGGAACTCGCAGTGTGGTCTCTTTTCCGTCAGACCGGTCGTTCTTCTATATCCTCGCGCAGCGCTGCCTCCTGCTCGGGCCCGCCATCGTCCTTCTCTACCTTTTTGAAGCATGCTGACACTTTAAAGAATGGTGTCTTGGTAGGCTCTGTTGGTCCTTCACAAACGCACCGCCACAAATTCATAACCGTCTGGGCATCCGTATATCCTGAAATATTCGATGTTTAGGGCACTCTTAATAAATACAAATTCACAAGGTTAAATGCCTTATTTCAAAATACATCCGCGCCTTTAACACGACATTCTACATTGCAGCGCCAACTATACCCTATGCAAAGATAAGGGATTAGAGTCACTCAATCCCCTCCGACTTGCGTACCGTATATATGCCTAATGCCATCTTTATGACTCCCTTCTAAAAAAATTGCCGTACGCTCTGACAATAAAGATCTTTTTAAAAGATTTTCCAGTTGGCTGGAAGTGACTTAAAACCCATAAATAACTTTAAGTGCACCTTGCGATGCATACTGTGAAATATACTCAATTTGTTTAACTTTCGAACGTTATCTATTGCCGATGAACATGGCCTTGCCTTCTCTTCTCATTTTCAAATCTCAACCTTGAATATTCGAATCGTCTTGATGTTCGTTACGTCACATTATTTCTTTATTATTCAATGGGAGTTAGTGATTGTTCAAGGAATAGAGAAGTATGTGACTCCATGCGACTTATTATTCGAATAATAGATTATACCAATGAGTAACAGTGTAATTGTGTAGTGTGTGTTGTTTGGAGAGTGGGAAGTTAATCAGCCGCAATAGGCGCCTGGTCTCTTCGCTGGAGATGAGAAATTTGCCCACTGCAGTACAATAGCCTGGTACGATGATCATTCAGATTGAAGAAGGCAGAGGTACAGATAAATCCCAGAATCCGAGTGTTCCGCAGCGCGAGCATTCACTCTACCGATAAGTAAAAAATGAATACAAATCATCAATAAAGTTCCTCAGGTTCGACGCACCTGTTTCCGTCCTGCAGACGGTAAGGCCTCTTTATTAGGCCGATTTGCTTTCCAAACACGGGACAATCCGCGGTGACCACCAGTGCTCGGTAGCCAGATCGTTCGGCCCGTCTCACCAGGCTCCTCGTGAGGTCTCGGTCAACGGCGAACTGTACTTGGAGCCAAAAGAGGCCGCCTGGCACTTCCCTCTTCACAACCTCCATAGAAGTGCTGCTGTAGATGCTCAGTACCATTAGGGTCCTTTCTGCGTGGGCCGCTGTAAAGTAAAAAAATATCGACTTTCCTTCTACTCCCTTTCACTTTCAAGAGACACTGGAGTGAAAAAAAAAAAGTTTTTGGTTTGATTTCATATTTTCTTTTACATGTTTTTACTACAAATTCCTTAGTGCAATATTTACGTTGCTATACGCAATTTAGTGGTGGTAACCGTGATCTATCCCTCCCCCTCTCCTCCGGTGCTCACAAAACTAAGCACAGTTTCTCGGATTTCATTCGATTTCATACAACCAACATTGCACACGTGTGCAATGTTGGTTGTAAAATTGTCTCTCCGTGCCGTAATAGCATTTTGATAAACAGTACTTTAATTTTTGAGAAACAAGCAATCTAGATCAGGTCAATATTGTTTTCAAAAATTATCCCAAGATTGTATTTCCACTTCAGTTTGAAACGATAGCGAACATGGCTACCGGCACATGAGGAGTGATCAACGCTACTAAAACACTCCGTTGGGAAACTCACCCTTAAAACCGGGGCCGCTCACCACCACTGAGACAAAACTAAATACGATGACAGCGCCACCCTTTAGCGACTAGTCAAAGTATGAAAGTTCATTTATATTGCTGCTGCGAAATGGCTTTGCGAGATGGCGCCACCGGCCCTTGCGCGGCTGGACCTCAGCAGTTACGTGTACACGTGCACCTTCCAAAGTGGCCGCTGCGGGAGAAATGGCGTCGTTGCGATTGCCATTAGTTAGGTTATCGAGTACGTATCGAAGCTCATAAAAAATATAAAGCGCGCCAAAAACAAGGACGAAAAAGAGAGGACACTTAAGACAGGCGAGCGCTTACTCGCAACTGAAGTTTTATTAAAACTTGGGAAAACACGAAGATAGTTCCTTTCCCCAGCTGCACATGCCTCATTCAATTACACCCCCCCCCCCCTTTACCGGTCCTAATCTACAAAACGAAGGAACCCCTTTTGTTACCACCCCCCCCCCCCCCCCGCCCCCTTAACTTGCCCGTGGCACTTTCGCAGATAAGAATGATTCCTCAGCATCTGTCAAAGCAAGTGACGGGTGTCATCTGCAGCCATCATCCAAAGTTTTGATGATAAAAGCCTCTAAAACCTCCCTCGCTCTCTGCCTCTCAAATCGTCCCAAAATATTTGTGTTTTTAAAAACAGGAGCACATTTACACCTGCTGCAGTGGACTGCTAAGTGGCCAAGAGGAGTGTTACGGAGAGAGTTGCAGTGCCTCCCTCAGTCTATCACTAAATAAAACGTCCAGTCCGGCCAGCATAGGCATTACCACAAGTCGGAGTCGTGTACTGCATTCCGCTGTCTTGTGGTAAGGCCTATGTCGGCCAGACTAGACGTTGTATTGATGATAGACTGAGGGAGAACTGCAACTCTCTCCGTAATACTTCGTCTGGTCATTTAGCAGTTAACTGCAGCAGATGTGAATGTGCTCCTGTTTTTAAAAACAGTAATATTTTAGGACGATTTAAGAAGCAGAGAGTGAGGGAGGTTTTAGAGGGCTTTTATTATCAAACCTTTTGGTGATGGCTGCATAAATCACCCATCACTTGCTTTGACAAATGCTGAGGAACCACTCTTATCTGCCACAGTGCAACGCGATCTTTAAAAAGGGGGGGGCGGGGGGGGGGGGGGTGAACAAAAGGGGCTCTTTCGTTTTGCAGATTAGAACCGGTAAGGGCGGGGGAGGAGGGTAATTGAATGACGCATGTGCAGCGGGTGAAAGAAGCTATCCTCGTGTTTTCCCAAGTTTTGATAAAACTTCAGTTGCGAGTAAGCGCTCGTCTGTCTGTCCTCTCTTTTTCGTCCTTGTTTTTTGCGCGCTTTATATTTTATCATAAACTGCTACCAACTAGCCCAACTTTCAACCCTGCTGCAGATCGAAGCCACTGTTTAACACCAGGCTCTATGGCAGTTTCCTAACTGATTTGTACTAGTAACGATGGGAGTGATCGACGAGAGCAGCTCGTCCAGCTCGTCTATGTTAATGTGGGCCAGTCATTCTGAGTTCACCTCGGTGTTTAGACGAAGATCTTGCCAACCGATGTAGTTTGCTGCAAGCAACCGTTTAAGTACATGGGAGGAGTTGTTGGCGCTGTGCAGGTGCTTGGGTTCGTAGCGTCGGTATAGCGGGACTGACGTAAGCTCAGCGTCCCACTTTTTTATTTTATTTATTCGTACTGTAGGCCATTTCAGGCCCAAGCAGGGTGGGACAACAAGAAAGGAAAAACATAACTAAACAGAGTAAACCAACAAATCTGGTACACTGGAGGTCACCAAAAAAGAAAGAAAGAAGAGAAAAAAAGACACAAGTTCAAAGAATGTACAGACAACGCAACAATGGGGCCACTGATAGCGTCTTGCAATAAGCGCAATAGAGAACATAAAAAATAAGGTAAGAACGCTAGTGACACGTTATATCTTAAAATCATGAATACAACATTACAGAATATAACAAAAAGACCATGCGAGCGCGTTAGAAATGCAAAGAACATGCATCAACAAAATTTTTCTACGGTCGTACATGCAACAATCTCGTCAGGTAAAAGATTCAATTCATCTACAGTTCTGGAAAAGAGAGAAAGTCAGGTCAATACATTGTGTCTCAAAATATCGGCCAGGCTCTTCACATCGGGCGCAAAAATCGCTTTCTTAACCTATCGCGGCACGCTTTTGTGCAGCGTTTCCCACAGGTGGTGCATTTTTTCGTTGCCACCAGTTAGCGACGCGACCCCTTGCACCATCTGTTGTCTCCCGTGCCAAAGGGCGCCCTATGGTTTTAAATCCGGTGGCTTAGCTGCGTTTTCATAAAAGTTAAGACTTTCTCTTTGTTTATTTTTCCCCAGGTAAGTTCTCTCTTAGCAAATTTTATAGAAAAAATGCACCACTTGTGGTCAATGCTGCAGAAAATTGTAGCGCGATGGGTTAAGAAACCGATTTTCATGGTCGATTCGAAGAGCCTGGCCGCTATTTGACACACCCTGTATGTTGCTTGACATGACTTGATCTGTCCTTTTCGCGTATTGATGCCGAATACAGATATTGGTTCCCGTAAAAGCGGCAACCCTGCTTTGTAAACTGCGCGACCGTTGTGATTGCAACCGTGGTTTTAATAACGAAATGTTACCTACACAGGAACGAATTTGCGAGCACTTTGGTTGGAGGCAATGGGGCGTTCAGATCGCATCAAGTTTGTCCAGCTTCGTTCCCGTCATTTTGCTTCGAACAGAAAGTACCTCGTAGTTTCGCAACGCACCTGGCCTGCCAATACGAATATTTTAGGTCGCGTTTTAGTTGTGCGTCATGACGCTCACCTACCTTTGCTCGCGGATGCCATGCGAAAAAAAAAATATCAAAAATAGAAAAGCTGGAAAAGCTGCAGGTTCTTTTGTTGTTTTTTTATCGCAAAAATAAACTAGGCACCGCCAAACGCTCATTCTCCGCCCAAAGGTAGCGCTAGAGGTCACAACCAGATGCCTAAGTTTAAGCCCGATCCGATACCTTATTCAAAAGTTATTAGTGATTTCCTGAAAATTTCAATGGCAAAATGGCGGCCGACGGAGTTTTCGAATACATGGGGCTCTATGGCACCAGAAACCGCAAACGGGCAAAAGTGGGCTCCATTTTCCTATTGAAATTTTCAGAAAAACATTTATAACTTTTATTGGATCGGGCTGATACTTTGGCATCTGATTATGACCTCTAGCTAGAGCTACCTTCAGGCGGAGAATGAGCGTTCGGCGATGCTAGTTTATTTTTGCGGTAAAAAAAACTGTAAATTTTCTTTTGTGACATCCTGTACATTATCATTTCGTTGATTTTTTTTTTTTTTTTTTTTAGTCTTCTCGGTCGTTTTTACCGCACTTCGACAGACGCTGACAGTCGCTTGTACCGGAGTGTGGCTCGTGCATGATGGAACGCTAGAACACGCTTTCATGGTGGCGTCTTGCAAGCGCTGCAGACGTTTTTAGACAGGAGCGGAAAGCGGAGAGCAAGTTCGTCTGCTTCTTTTGCAGGGGTTGTAGTGACGTCAGAAAAACGCCGAGCTGTGATTGGCTCTGATTGAAGGATGGTCAATAGACCTCGAAGCAAGCTGCATTAAGGTCTACCCACAATCCTCCAATCAGAGCCAATCAGAGTCCAGTGTTCTGACGTCACCCCTGGAAAAGAAACTTGCGCTCTCGATAGCAGAAGGACGAAGGCGAATACGGAGGCCGACACGCAGCTTCCATATCCGCGTCTGGGCTTGGCAGACGACGATAGACGATGTTGTGGAATAGCAGTTGATGCCGGAGGTAGCTTCGCGTCTGCTCGCACGACCAGCAGGCGGCGGCAGACTTCCGGACTATTCCATACTAGATGCACCGGATGTCGGTAAAATGGAAACACTAAAGGCTTCCGAGCATATTCGGTCGAGCAGCCAAGCCAATCCAGTGGTTATGGGAGGGGCCACGGATCTGAGACCGGGGCTTAGAATGGACCGCGACCTCCACCTAAATTGCACCAAGCGTAGATATTGCACCAAAAAATATGTTGCATTAAAACTTGGGTTTGGGCTAGTTGGTTCATTACTGAATAAAAGGTTGATAAGCGCGAACACACGAGGACTTCACTCTCAACTGAGTTCAGAGTGAAGCGCCTGTCCTGTCGTCCGTTTCTTTATTGTCTTCGTTTGTTCGCGCTTTTTAACCTTCAACAAAAAATAATGTTGGTGCAAAAAAAGAAAGCCTTTTTAATGAGATTTGTTTTTCTTCACTCCAGTGTTCCGTTAAGCCCGACCGCTTTCCTCACTACGAAGCGACGGAGCAAATCAAGCAACGCCAAAATGTGCATCGTCACGTCGCTCGCCGTCTTCGTGCATTTTCTGTCCCAGTTTAAGCCATTCACGCGGAGAAAAAGAGCTTGAAATCGAGGCGCATTCAAGGTGCGTGGTTGGTTTAGTCAGTGATATACTCTATAGGTATACAACGCGCGAAGAAGACAAGCCTAATGACCATGCA